CGATGCCATGAACGGTAAGAACGTTTGGGAAGTTATTGAAGCTGGAAAGAAACAAATGGGATCAATGGCTGTTGCAGCCGCTGCCCCAGCTGCCACTACTGCACAAACTGAAACTAAAGCTGAAGAAAAGAAAGAAGAGAAAAAAGAAGAAGAAGAAGAGGAAGACTTCGGTGGATTTGGTGATCTTTTCTAAACAAAGAGTTTAAGTTGTTAAAGTATTTTTATGTTCTCTTTTTTGATGAGACTAACCTTGTAAACTACTATTATTTGTATGAATAAAAAAGGGTATTTAATAACCAAAATATTTTAATAGTCATGAGATGAATTACTTATAACCACAAAAATTGTTTTTTCTTTTCTTTAAGAAAGTCACTACCATTATATTCCCAAAACAAGTACAATATTTGTTTAAACATATTGTTAGCTATTCCCATCAACCAATTCTTTTCTTTTTAAAGAAATTAATTCATGGCTAGATAAATAATGGCTAATACATTCATAACACAATACTTAGTTAGTTTAAATGTTTACAATAAATACTATGACCAAACAAAACTATATACTTTTAACTATAATACAATATGAATATAAATGTTTCAATAATCTCTTTTAATAATTAAATAGAGTCTTTCTAATTAAAGTTAATTAATTAATTTATTAGCTTGGTTTTTTTATATAATTTTATTATTTAATTGTGTAAATTTTATGTCTCTTTTTTGTGGAAATACTTTTAGAGGTTTTTTGTTTTGTTTTTCAGTATTTTATTTAATGTTTACAATTGTATTTGTTTAAATAGTAATAAATTTATAGTGTTATGTTAGTTACATTATCTTTTATTTAATATACCTTCCATTTATAATTTATCCAAAAGTACAACAAGAAAGAAATGTTGTTTATCACAAATGTAAATAAAAAGAGAATATAAAAAGTACCGAAAAAATAATGTCAAATAATTAGAAGAACGGTTAAAGTATAATACAAAAATGAATAAAATGAATTGGATATTCATTTTGTAATTTATGTCATTTAAAAGTATAATTTTTATAATAATTATTCATTTGTTAATATCAAAACATTTAACTAAACTATTTTTAATGAATAAATAATTGATAGAACTACAATAGATAATATTAACTATAATAAACTCATTATAAATTATTTTTAAAAATGAATATAATTATTATTTTTATAGAACCCAATACTGAAGTGAATAATTTATTATTATTTATAACATTAATGTTTTTATTAATATAAACTTTATCACAAACATTAATGTGTTCTGCATAGTATAGAGTATTATTACTATTAATTTTCTTTTTAATATAATGAAATATACTTTAATAACTATATACTTATTCGTAGTTACAAGTATTCTGTTAATTAATTTATCATTTAATATGCAACTAGTAATAGATTTTTGAAAGTATATATTATTTATCACTAGTCTTTACAATTTTAACAATAAAGATGAAAGAAAAATAATGTTTTATAATATCATATAGTAATTTTTATTTTCAAATAAAAATAGAACTATTCATTATTTATTAACGTCTTTTATTAAGTACTAAATAATAACTCTTGTTGAATAGATTTTAAATACTTTCTTTGTTATTTGTCTTTTCTTTGTCAATGAGGAAATTGTCACAGTTTTAATGTTCTATTTAATATATTTCAATTAATTTATTATAATATTCATTTTTTAAAAAAAATTATTTGAGTAAAAAGAATGCTTTTGTTAATTTTATCAAACAAATAATATATCAAAAATGGTTAAATTAAAATTTTTATTTAATTATTATAGTCAAGTTGAAACAAATGGAAATACTAGCAATTATTTTCAAAAAGTACTATCCTTTTTGTCTATTTTATTTTTGGTTATTCTTCATCAACTACCAGTTTTTATCTATCTTTTTTCATTCATAAAACAAAATGATCCTAATTTTAGTTACTACTCCTATTTAATGTCATTATATTAGTAAAATAAAATTATAGAATGTTAATTATTGAATTAAAATAATTTCTATTTTATTTTGAATGAAATACATCTTATTTTTTTAATATATCAAATGAAATTTCAAATTTCTTATTAACTTCTTCAATACAAAGAATCTAATATTTTATTATCACAAAAAAATTATATTCATTACATAAAACAATTTAAATTGTTTCATTAATCTTCTTTAACAAGAAGTGTTAATTTTATTTGTAATAACTAGCAACATTTTTAATGTTTTAAACCTAAAATTCTGATAATCTTATATTTAGAATAGTCCTTCAAAAATTAAGTAACTTGAATTTGTTTTATTAAAATTAAGATATTAATGAATGTGTCATATCTGAATATTAGTTCTGGTTTTGAATAATAAAATTAAAAAAATGAAAGATAAAATGTTTTACATCGGAAATTAAAAACAATGTTTTTAGAAGAAGAATTTTCTAATACATCAATAATAAATATAAATTCTATAACAAGAATAAACGACATTAAATAAATAAGACAGTCATACATTCAATTTAAATAAAGTTTAATTACGAATATATCTATTAGTTGTCTTTTTTACCATTTTCTTTCAAAATCAGAAAATAACTTAAATCTAATAAATCAGTTAATGTCTCTAAATATCAATAAAGACATTCCTAAAGATAGTTTAAATAGTTATGACCCTGAAGATATATATGATTACATTAATAACTCTCAAAGGAGTATAGGTCCGATTAGCTATTCACTTGAACAAAAAATTTTAAATGATCCTCTAGGTGATAGTATTATTGAAAATGAGCCAATCCCTAAAGAAAATGATGAACTATTAAATAAAATTAAAGAAGAAACAAAAACCAATAAAAACATCAGCAAAAGTAAAACCCAACCACCTGTTATTGGTATAACAGATGTTGTTGAAAATAATCAAACCAATGAAGAACAAAACGAAAAACCACAAGAAAATGTTATTCCTCCAATCCTTCCTGAAACTAAAGAAATCCCTAAAACGAATGCCCTAGAATTAAAAAAAACGGAACAAAAACCAATTGAAATTATACAAGAAGAAGAAGGAAGTAATGACATTCAACAATCCACTACTAATGAAAAAAAAGGATGGTTTAATTCAGCAGATGGTACTCATTATTTTGTGATTACTATGATAGGTATTATTGTCTTTATTATTAACTACACAATTTTACGTGTATTAGTAACTTTAGATAATAAATACTATCAATAAATTTGATTTATTTTTAAACTCTTTTTTTGTTTTTCTTATTGTAAAATTATTATTTTTTTTTGTTATTTAAACAATCTAAAAAATTTATTTCAAGTTTTAAGTAAGTAAAAATAGATTATTTGAAATTTGATATTTATTGTTTAAATAAACTATTTTTAATGAATTTAATTTCAGTAATAATGTAATGATATGAAATATTGATATATTATTGTTATTTTATTTTTTTTCTTATCTTTTTGTTATATTTAATAACATTTTTTTAAATATTGTATTTATAACAATTTTTATTTTATTATTGTTAGTTAAGTTGTTTATTTTTTTTTGATATTGTTTGGTTTGTTTCTTTTAAATTACTTATAATAATTCATAGCATCATTTACTATTTGAAACGTTTAATAAAGTCATGGTAGTCAATATAATATACACTATAATAATGAGTGATATTAGTATTATTAAATAATGGCATTATACATAACCTTATTTGAGTAATAGTAGTGGAGTAGTTATAATGGATGTTTCATTTTCTGTTATTATGATAATTTATGATTTTATGTAATGTTTTGATTAATGAAGATTTTTTTGTGATAGAAAAATTTATAAAAAGTGAAGAAAAGAAAAAAAAAAGAGAAAGGGTAAATTTAAGTTCATATTCTCTTTTTTACTTCTTCAGTATGCAAGATACTACAAGTCATCAAGGACAGTTTTTAGTTACTTGTCAACATAAATTACCAAAAGAAGAACGAATTGAAGCAGATGGGACAACAAAAGAAGTTCATGTAGTAATAAAGCAAAGTTCATTTATAGTTTCGATCTCATCAGAGAGTATTATATTAGAAGGGTGTAATGTTGATTGTTCATTAGTGTATGACAATGATGGATTAACTGTTTGTTAATAAAAGGGACATACAAAATAAACAGGAAATAATAAATATTAATTTATATTTAGGAAGTTCATTATATTAATCAAAAACCAATTTCATTTACGGCACAATTGTCTTCACCAAATAGAATAACATGTGATGTACGTATATTAGTATTATCAAGCCAACATGAAGATATGCTATTTAAAGTAATATTTAAATTAACAAATAAAAAAGGAGAACAAATCGCAACATTACATTCATTTCCTATTAGAGTTATTTCAAAAGCTGATGGTAAAAAGAAAGTACCGTTTGTTTATAGTTTTTAATAAAATATTGCATAAAATATTTCTTTGTACTATTTAATAGAATGTTTATTATTTAATTATATATATTTAATATTCATTTATTCTTATAGATACATGTATTTATACTAATCTTTTAGAAATTCTAAACCTCCTAAACTTCCTTCCTCTATTAAACCAGAACAAAAAAGTAAAATTCTTACTCAGTCTCATCTTCCTGTATCAACTCCTGTCATTCAGTCTCTTTCTTCTCCTTCTCAACAAAATATAGAAATACAACCTGCTGCTTTACAAAATGCTAATGAACAAACTGAAGAATCTGTATTACAAATATTACAATATCAACAATCAATTTTACGTGATTTAACTCAACAAACTAATGTCAATCCTTTAAGTTCTCCTTTGGTTGGTTTGATTAATTCTTATCAACAACTTCCTCAAAACCAAAGAATTCCACAGTTATTAAGAATTATATCAAGTCTTAGTCCTCAAGAAAATGCCTTAATTAGTGAATTAGTATCTTTAATTGCTGGAATTAATACATCTGTTCAAACAGACCCTCAACAACAAATAGTACAACCTTTCCAAACTTTTGCTCAACCTGCATCTGCTTATCAAAATAATGTTCAACAACAGTTTAATACTTCAAATAACAATGTTACTAATCAATTTCAACAATTACCCACCCCTCCTATCACAATTCCTATACCTACTTCTGCTTCAAATCAAATAAATCAACAAAGTGTTTCTAGTACATCTCAACCTCCATTATCAGATAATACTACATCTCAACCTCATTTCCAAACATCTTCATCACATTCATTCTCACCACAACATTATTCATTTAATGGAAATAACGATACTTCATTTTATCCAGACACTAGTAATAATTGATTGTTCAGATTTTCAAATTAAGTTGAAAACCTATATTTATTTAACTTATATTAGAGGGTATTATTTATTGAAATCAATTTAATAGAGTGATTGTTATTTTATTGTGTATTGTCTTGAAGATGTTCAATTTTATCTATTACTTCTTTTTTGTTACGGTTTTTTTTTATTTTTATAACAAAAACCTTATTGTGTGAGTGATTATTAATACTAAAGTTGTCTAATCTAATTAATATTGATGAAGTAATTTAATATGTTTTATTTTATTCAGATAAATACTTTCGTTGTTAAAATTTTTTTTTCATAAACTTAAAGCATTTTGTTTTTCTAATTTATACTATTAACAAGTTATTGTTGTATATTCTTTATGTTAATCATTTTATGTTTAAATGTTTCATTTTTCTATCTTATGTTTAATTTTCCTTATTACT